TCGATCCCATCTAACTAATTAGTTTAAGTCAGCTTGGAGATCAAAATTATCATTTTTTACTCCACACTGTTCTCCAGATTTTGACATCATCCGCAAACACTAATGTCAACGACTTAAGTATTAGCGGCAATTTTTTAACGTAGAGAAGGACTAGCGGAGGTCCTAAGGTGATGCCTTCAAGTACATCACTTTTGACTGGCGTGCATTAGGACAGAGTATAGCACCTGTTATTCCGGAGTTCGAGAGCTTCTGCATATGACCTCAGTGTGAAACTTTGTCACACGCCTTTCTAAAGTCTGTAAATATCACATCGACAGACGGAACGTTATATAGGGCTCATGTCCAACCCTCTCTCGCAATAAGTAAGTCAGTCAAGCATGAATGCTTGTTACGAAACACATGTTGCTCAGGAGTTAACAGATTGTGTGAATCCATGTGACTTAGTAACCTAACCCGAATTATCTTCTCAAGTAACTTAACGACTATGCCGGTTAGACTGACAGGCCAGTAGTTAGATACGGTCTGTCTCTGACCGTCCTTAAATATAGAACTGACTATAGCATCTTCTCAATCTCTAGAGAGTTAAACGAGTGGAAGGGATATGCTGAAGAGTATCGCTGCCATCTATTCTACTGCTTAATGGCCACGGTCTGTGATTGGACATTATAACATCCTTTTATGTCATTCTAAACAACATTGAAATGTTGGCTAGGGTTATTATTCCGTAACACTATCGGGTTTTCATTTCGCGTTGTGCTATCGGCGCCACCACGTGCAGGGGAACCTTCGCTAATCAAGTGAACCCACATTTGGTTCTTATCACAGAATCAGCTGACAAGTAACATCCATTTTACAACAGTTGTTACCAATTCGTTATTTTGTATACAAATTTGTCGCATGTGTTGCTTTTTACCATTTTGCTCTATTTATAGACAGTCACTTTGGTTTATAGTGAACTGGAAGGGGTACTATAATTCATAGGAGGTCGACGATTTAAACATGACTACAAACCGCCTAGTTTGTACTCTGCTGTATGCACATGAACTTAGAATAGAAGGGGAAATATAACACCGTGATATTTCGATTTTCCATGACTTTAGCGAGATATACAAACAGTAAACATGATGGTGAGAAGATAATTTTGACCCGCCCATGACTATAGGACAGAGCATTTCGTTTAATCACAGCTCATTATGAACAATTGTGGTGTCAAGAACCATTGGAATTTATGCTAATTTATTATGCACAATACCTCTTTAAATGGTGTTTGTTATGATGAATTGTTTTCACGTCTTACGTAGTTATTCTATCACAAGCAAACCTAGACAATTCGTTAAAAGCGAATCCTGCTCGTAACCCTGTGAAATCAATAAATATAAAAGTGAGCTGAAATAGCTTCTATAAGATAGGGAGATAGCCATTTGCGTACCAGAATACTGTTTTCAGTACTATATTTTAAATCTTTTCATAATCCTAAACTTTCAGCTTCTTCTTGAACCCCATCCATTTGTACAGTTCTTTACCCATTCAAACAATGTTCGCGCTTCTTTTATTTAACTTGTCAGAATGCTTAGCTCAAAAAGTACCTTAATAATAGAAAATTAGACTAATTAGTCATAATTTCACTAATTCACCCCAAATGACTCAACTGAAATAGGCAAAAAAATTGTCCGTTTCGCTTCTCTTCCTTTCTACACTTTACCCTTCTTTCCAGCCCTTTCAATATATGCCACCGAAAACACATATGAAACGGGTGACTTTAACCTGTGCCATTATTGCTTCAGCTGTTTCAGAGGGATATAAGGTCGCGATCTCTAGAAGCTCTCAACTGTACGTGGATTTATTCTCGACCATCAGTTGCACGTCGAGACGCCACTTCCATAAAGCGCGCCGATTGTCATATTTACAATACGAGTCTAACTAATATTATTTGCATTCATATGTGAGATGTGTTATCGCTCATAATTCAATGACCAGTGTACCTTACAAAATAACAAACTAACTGAGCAACCCACACAGTGAAGACTGTATATTCCGCAACAATTTGATCTTGCTTAAAAACTGGGATTCCTCATGCAACAGTCTCTTATATGAGAAAAAATTATTATTTACAACTGTAAATCAAGAAAATCCTTCGTCTTTAAGGTCAGTAGATATAGAAATCTATTGGTGGAAAGCATTGATATACCCAACTCATTCTTCTAACACGATGCTAATATCACATTGTCCACTACAAAGGACGTGACTATTATTATTTGTGATACTCAGACTATCCCTTCCATTGGGATTCCGCAAAGAAGCTTAACTTCCAAACTGTTTCAATATAAAGTACCACAAGTATACAGAGTTTGATATTACCTTTTCCAGTAACAGCTTCTATAATCTAAACGTGTCAACCTAGTCAAATCAAAACTCGGAAGCGAAAACTTTCGAAGATATATTTGGTAGACTGTTTAGTCTAAGCTGGTTAGCGGTTGTTAGAGAAGTTGAGCACAGCCTTCCCACTCGTGGTCTGGTCAGGATGTATTTACAAGCGCTTTCAGCTAGATGACGTTCAACTTAGTCTGCATGGAGACTTAAACAGCAGCCTGACTAATACAGATAACTTATGAGGATGTGGTCATTCTGAATCAGTCCACTTACAGTTCACTTCATTTCAACCGATCATTCATACGTTTCACCAATAAGCTACCTGAGGACTTGGAGTCCATACTCAAAACATATTCTGAACTCTGGAAGATATCGTCGGGATTCGCGTGGGTGAATACTTACTTACTCCAATTACCACTCGTAGAAGAACATAGACAACCCACCAGCATTCTTCATAGAACTCTGTCCTCGACAATCCTTCCCAGTTGTTGTTTGTTCTTTTGATTTCTGCCTCCAATTCCCGGCGCAATGTGTTCCTTGGTCTTCCTCTTTTCCTACTGACTTTAGGATTCCAAGTTGGCAGTTGCCTATGATGATGCTTGTTACGGTCCAGCATCTCCTGACACGTTGAAGTTAATTTTTCTTTGAACCACTTCTAGTTGTAGTTTCTCCTTTCAGTAGATCCCGTAAATCTTGGAACCTGTTGTTAAGAGTTATCTTGAATTGATTGAGTTTGTTAGTATCTCAGCTGTTCAGCGTTTCTGTAGCTTTAGTCTCATCTTGGCCACAACTAGGTGGTGGTTCTCACGTCTTCCAATCTAAATTTTCTAATGATGCAAATGTGAACTGGTTCTCTGTGGTGTAATCCAGTGAGACCCATGTAGCTTTGCATATGCGCTTGTGTGGGAATATTGTGCCACTGATAAGATGGAAAGGAAAGTCAAAATTTCGATTGATTTACTCATTGTTAGTTTTGTTCAACATTACTTCCGTCTTGATTCAATGTGATGATTATTCAGTGCAGTATTGGGTTTTTCGTGTTGTATTTCAGGATTTTGCTTTTCCCTTTGTGTATATTGAGGCCTACTGAATCTGCGAATAGTGATATAGCTGACCACTTCGCGACAACACGAACAACTGTAGTCTTCAAAGCACGGCAAGTTTTGTTCTCTGAGCTGGATGGTTTAGTGGTGGAGCTTTCATCGTTTTTCTGAACACTTCACTTCTACTTGAAATTTGTGCTGATGATATCGTTCAGAGGAACGATGAATACCCCACGACCAAACCTTCTAGCTCAGAGAACAAATCTCCGTCATAGTCATCCACCTGAGCTACAATTCTTTCTCACCATCTCAGTTGCTTTGAAAGAATCTCCGTGGTTCCCAAGACAGTCTGACATTATTCTGAAAACTAATGGAACGGATCAATTCCCTGTAGAAATCGCCACTTTATTAACGAAATGTAACTTTTTTCGTTAGGAAGAATGCACTCCTAGTGATACCCACACTTTGATATTTGGAGGGAGCTAATGTATCGTTTTGAGATTAAACGAAAACGCAAATCATGGTTGAGGTTGTCAGAAAAGGCCTTCGATAAGCACTAGTTAGCCAGGAACCTCTCACTCCCAACACCCCTGTCAAACTATGTCCTAGAACATCCCACTAAAGTCCTGTCCATCATCAAATCTCTTTTAGGTAATACATAGTTTTAAAAAAAACCCACGCTAGACGGGTTTGAGGTAGCCTACTTGTCCGACTAGAGTGAGAACAACCCTATGATAACGAGTAGTGTATGAACGAAGCTATACTTTCAAGAAGCTACCTTTACACAGAAGAATCGCACTTCACTGTTGCCTGTTCAGAGTAAAATGTGTTGCCGGGTGAAGAACACAGATAATTTACGTAGAGTCAGCGATCTGTCATGACGATATTCCGGATTAATCTGACAATACGAAAACGCCCAAGTCAAATAAACACAGAAATATAAGGACGAAAATGTGGAAAAGACTAGCAGTATTTTTCACCTTTCTTAATATCAGGCAACTTCGGAGAGTTGATACGAAAAGCTACACAGAGTAAGCTCAAGTATCAAGTACAAATATCAACTGCTGAGAAGACTTAACAAAATATTTCTGAAAATAAGCTTAAATTTATGTCCATTTTAAAATGACGCTCAAATTACCAGTGTAAACACAAACTTAAGTGTTGTTTGTTTTTTATAGTGTTATATAAAAATCAAAAAGAGCTGTTTGCAATAGATATATATTTGACATGTGCTAATTTAGGAACAAACGCTGAAAGACCAGTTCTGAAAAAATAGCAATCTGGTTGAGCGGTTATCGAAATAAGTTACAGACTAGTACTGATATGTCAACGAAGGCAAACTATTTAAAGATATCACGGAAGTATCTTTTTCTGCATATTAATGTATAAACTAGGTAACAAAGTAATAAGAGTAGACTGAAAATACAAATTACGATAAATATCTGTTAGTTAAGTGTAATGTACCGTTCCTTATGTATTGTGGATGTACACCAGGAAAAAGGAAACAGGTAAAATTGTTCAAAATTAAGGCCAAACAGACGAACAGAAAAATGGGTAAAATAAGATTTGACTAGAGGAAATACGATTTTATCGATCACGTTGTAGGAAATTCGCTGCAACATGTAAAAGAGCCTTTCTTGATAAAGAATCCCTGAATTGAAATAAACATCTTTGAGCTGCCTGGAAATGAAATTCAGCTAACATCCGAGTCTGACCAACTCCATCGGACTGCGAATTACCACCCGACAAAAGTAAAACAAAAGTTGACCAGAAAAATTTATATTACTAGAGTAAAGTCAGAAAATATAGACTATCGAATTAACGTCATCAAAAATAAATATTACTGGTAATAAGATAGTATAGTTTCTTAAAGAATTTTTAGATGTGACTAGTTGGATACAGAAGAAAAATGACAAATTCGCAATACAGCTGATCTTAAATTTGTCTATATCCCAAACCTTGATATAGTATTAGTGGTAGTAGTTGAAAACAAAACGTTGGAAGTAAAACCGATAAAGATTAAACTTTTGACAGTAAAGTTTCCTTTACTAAAAGCCTAGCGTCAAATAATGTACCGTTGAAAATGGCTTTGCAAAAATATTTGTTAGTTTACAACCAGATACTTCGTTTTAAGTAGAAATAAAAAAACATCACTTAGTTTTTTCTATGCAGAAAAGTCAAGCTGTTTAATGAAATATTGACATGGCATTTTCTAGATTTGGAACATATGCTAGGTTAAACTAGTTGAAGTTAGATTGTGTTTAGATGTACAATGGTAGCGTGCGATTATAGCTTAGTCAATGTAAAATTTAGTTGTCAACTCTTTGGTCACACGTCTCATCTAATTTAATCTGAGTAGCTCAGTAATTTATAAATAAGAAAAGTAATTGTTAATCTGCATTACTTAACATATTGGCATGTGGTATAAATTCTTCATAGACTAGTGTAATAAAAACCAATGACGACAGCGGAACGGAAAAAATAATTTATAATAATTAGTACGCAAGACAAATTGAGAAAGAATGTCCACGGAATAAAATGCAATCAAAATTTTAGGTTTGGTAAAACAACACTAAGTTTTACCCTAATGTTGATGGACATTCATTACAAATGTGTAAATAACTATTGTAGATGCTTTGTACGGTAAAATTGTGATAAGATCTGACTAAATAACCTAATAATTTCAATAACTCACGCTATCCCGATAAGTAATCACGTCTGAAAATAAACTCTATGTTGTCAAGCCATTTGAGTGTATCGTATTCAGTAAACAAGGTTACGTTTTTATTTACTTAGTCATTCAATTGCAGATCTTTTGTAATAGTTTATATTATAGAATTAATTGGAGGCACGACTTTTGCTATGTTGTAATTTTTTCAATCATGACTGACCAAGCTACACTTGGCACAACCGTAGCATGATGGAGAGTAGTTTAGTTGTAGAAAACTTTACATCTTGCATGTAAGCCAGCATAAACGAAAAGGAACGAAACACACCTCCCATTACGGATCACGATGGTGCAAATGGTATTTCCCATTTCATTTTGACTGGTAGCCAGGTGTGAGTGAAAATTATGAAGGAGAGGGATTGTTCTCACTCCCAATCGCCAATCAGACAAACAGAAATAAAATGCTTTGCAATAATAGAAGATACCGATATTAAAAAGCCTCCATACTTTTAAAACCACATATCTAACGGAATATGTACAACCTAAAAACCCTACTACTTTCCCCACTAACTACAATTATGTCAGTCAATAATTTCACTAGCGGCTATCATTAGACAGTGGATTCAATCTTTAGAACAATAGGCATCTGATTCGAAATTGAATGGCAACATGAAAAAGCTGAACGACGATACATCCAGCTGATGAGTTCCAAGTACAGAGACAAACAAATTTCTGGGGAACAAACACTGTACTGTTACCTGTTTAACTAATTCTAAAGCTCTTTCAGTGTCCCCATCTAAACTGAATTGACGCAGAAGTATGGCGTTTAGTTCAGGATACTAAAAATTGAAAAAAAGAAACAACTCACTAACAAATTGTTAAGCACCTTTTTTAATCAAATAAATATCACTGCAATAATAAATGCTCCAATTTTGAGATCATTTCATCGAAATAGAACTAAAAGTAATTTTTGTTACGTAGCTAATTAACTACTCATTTACTGGAAAGAATCTTGTGACCTACTATCAAACTACTTTATGATAAAAGTAGAAATACTGCAGGTCAGATTTCTAGTTTACCACTTAGTAAGACGTATTTACGTGTTCCATTATCAAACAACATATGAATATTTATTTATATTTGTATTTAAGTATACTGGAGATATCATTATAATTTTTGTTAAAGAATATCACCACTACATCCAAATGAAACAATCGGTAAACTTTCGCATACAAGTTATAGCGGTTCAACACAATTATATTACACCGACAAAATTAAAATGCGGTTAATCATCTCAGATACTCAGAACGGTTTATGAAATAAAAGTTTAGTGGGAAACATATGTAGTGAACTGATGAAACAAGCCTGTACAAGTCATCCATTAAAAAAATAATAAACACATATTTGACAATTAAACGCTTATATTAATACTTATCGAAATGCTTGTATGTACATAAAATTGATTGTATTTCTGCTTATATAAATTACTGGTATTTTGGAAGCAACTTAGTTACTTGTTTCTTTAATACGTATTTAATTAGTACTGAAGTCAAAGTATAAGTATTATTTGCATCCGTTGTAAATCTTTAGTCTATCTGTTGATTATTAGTTGGAGAGCGGATTGGAATTTTCCTGCTAAACTGTTCCCGATATGCCAACACTTTCTTGTATTTGATAGGATTTATAAGGTTGATGTTAATATTTCATCCACGTTGTAATTAAATTATTGGAAATCGAACTGTATTTCTATCCCGTACCAACAATTCCTTAATGGGTTTTTATGTTAGGAGTATTAAGGTAAGATAATACTTGCACTACATAAAATCTAATGGTAGGCAGCGGACGACTAATATGCAATACAGGGAGAGAAAAGTAATCTTTTTAAGAGAGCTGACTAAACACCAGTGAATATGCAGTATTTGCATGAGTTGCATATTAAGACGCAGATGAGTACGACTAATTAGTTGGAAGAAAGATCAATTACAAGTGGTATTGACGGCTTATTAACAAGGTGCTAAATTAGCACACAGAAGCAACGAATTGACAAGGTTGATATTCGTAGAGGAATTTCTAACATCTCAGCCCTCTGTTTGAAGTCAAGCTTCTGCAAGAATATAAGTAAGAACCTGTAGTGACTTCAATCGCTCTTATAGGACATTCAGGAGTGTTTAGAGGATGAATTTATTAGACGATCTGATAACATTACATATAATTAAATATGTGCAAATCATTTTGTAAACTATTATGTTTACAGTGAAATCCAATTTCGGAAATTTATATATAATATTTGAAGTTATAATGCTTTAAAAAATAGTAAGATGTTGGAATGATAGGTGGATTTACATAAGTAAATTCATTATGATGGCAATTTATTTACTTTGATTCAATAAAATCAAGCATTGGGTTTCGTAACATTTGAATGAGATTAAACTTTAGTCGTACATTACACTATTTACAATATTTTGACAATAACAATCGATATTCGTTTTTTTCTATTACAATAGGAATGTGAGTGACCTGTTAATTTCAGTAATCGGTGAGATGATGATATTTAAATCTTAAGAGGATAATCCGCTCTAGCTTTCACTACACGTGAAGTGACCACATCACTCGTGCACACCACTAACATTTACACAGCTACCTGGATACACAAGCTTCTTGACTATTACTAATTGCTCACTACCGAAAGTTAGTACCGGCACAGAGTCCAGCCAGTCATGTAAAAGTATTTTATACTTTGAGGGTGAAATACACACGCCAAACATACGTTCACTGACTGCTAGCTGATTAAGTGCGGACTGCATAACCTGAGTATCATCTGACAGTTAGATAATGTAATCCTCATACTAAAGGATGAAAAGTCTGTTAATAAACTTCTCAGGCATACCCTTATTCAACAGACAACCCCAGAGAACAGTCCTGTCCAACAAATTGAAGGTAGCTCTGATGTCAAGAAACACAACGATTGTTGGCTCGTAATAATTATGCCAATGTTCTAACATTTGGCGGAAAGCGAAGGTATGGCTAATGCATTTTCGACCAAAACAAAAACCAACCCACTCGTTGCGAGTCAATCATTCACGGGTCCTGAGAAAATTGCGAAGTATGACGGAAGCCAATAATTCGGACACGATTGGAAGTAGACTTATACCCCGATAGTTTTTGCATAGATGTAAAGGTTTTTTAAAGATAGGAACGACTATAAACTTTCTCATTCCCAAACTTTTTTAAACAATTCAGTCAGTTTAACAACCAGAAGGTCGCCACAATACTTGAAGAGGGCCGGAAGGAAGTCATCTGGGCCAAGTGGTTTGTGGACCTCCAAGAGTTGGAGTTGCTTGTAAACTTCTGCCTCATTAGGTGGATCAGTCGATACTGGCCAGGGAGGACAGAACATATTGATGGAGTTTTGTTCTCTGAGCTAGATGGTTTGGTCGTGGAGCTTTCATCGTTCTTCCGAAAGACATCATCAGTACAAACTTCAAGTAGAAGTGTAGTGTTCAGAAGAACGATGAAAGCCCCACGACCAAACCATCCATCTAAGAGAACAAATCTTTATCAAAATCATCCACCTGAGCTACAAATCTTCATCATCTGGAGGACAAAACAGTTTATTGAGGTCGCCGGGACAGCAGTTAGTGCTAGCCAGAAACAAGGTGTAGTTTGTGCAAGGTTCCAGTAGATAGTCCATCGTCCAAGACACCAATAAATGTTGATATTGATTGATTGGAGTCCAGTAAGCTTCACAAGTTTTTTTCAACCCCAACAGACTTCTTGCTGCCGGTGGCTCGGATGAGTTAAAAAGGCTTCCGGAAGTTACCAGATGCAGCTGTTGCTTCCAACTCGTTAGCACGTTCTGATCACCACGTTTTTCGGTCCTCATGCAAACTTTGTACAATTTCATTACGTAACAACCTATATTCGTCGTCAAGCTCGTGGTTAGCCAAAGTAGACCGACTTGCCTCAATGAATTGCAGAGAGCTCGTAGAAACTCAGTGCTCTTAAGAGGGATATTTCGCGAAGCCTCAAGAGGCTCTATTCGTCATTTCAGTGTCGTCATACAAGTATTGCGAGTGCTCATTATCACGTTCTCAACTTGATTACGGCAAAGTACGATATACAACTAACGGCACTTGAATTTATAGAACCCCACTGTCGCAAATCCGAAGACAAAAGAAGCAAGGGAAGTGACTATGCGGTAAGAATCAAAAATGTACAGAAATAAACGGGTATTTTTATGGTTATAATTATTGGTTAGAGCATCATTAAAATCCAGCTAATCCACAAGGAGGCAAGTTATGCCACCATCTAATCATAGCATGCCACACTGATATTCTAGAAGACTCTATCGAATTCTGATTGGATGGAATCTCTTTGGCTTCTTTATAGCCTCTAAAGACTTCGTCGTAATTCGCGAAGCCGTACCAAAGCTCGTCTATACTTTTTAGTCAGTTCATAACAAGCATTAAACTTAGCTCAGTTTGATATTCAGTTAGGACAGAAGATGTAGCCAGTTTGTTCACATCGATCCATTTAAGATGATGAATTTGTTAGCCATTGAAACGTAAGACGAGATTAGCGCAAACAGGGACATGATTAGAGTCTAGATAAGTACTGCAAAGGGAGCGGAAGTATTGTACATATGCACCCCAGGGCTGGCTGATCACATTGTGATCAATCTGAGTCCAGACTTGAGATAAACAGGGATGCCAGGTAGCATATTGGAAATGACTTTGTCGATAGTCGTCCCCAAATAACCTGGTACACTTTAGGATGGAGAGAGTCTGCTCTCTCTCTCAAAATGTCCTTACACAGCCACGCATATAACGCCATTGCCAGGGAAGTCCTGCTCACTGCCTTCTCGTGGCAGGGGTGTCAGTTACGTAACTGGAAAGTGAATGCCCAGCGTTTTAGCCGGAGTGGTGATAGTGCTAGCTAAAAACAGATTGTAGTCTGAGCAAAACTGTAGTAGACGATCGCCGTTAATTGAGCTGGGACCAAAAAGTTTTCATCGACCACCCAAACGACTCTCCTGTGTCTAGAAAACAAACCTGCGTACATAAATCTGTGGTTAGTACTATAATATCTGTCCAATGTAATTTCTGGTGGAAGAACTCCTCCTTGACTGAAACATGGCTGCAATCTGTCGGGGATATGTAGGACGAGATAATAAAAAGACATTTTTTCTTACACCGACTCCTCAATTTGATAGAGCTTTCTACTATAACTGTTGGGATATTCACAAAAATATCCCAAAAATTATCCTGTTAAGTAATATTATCCTTGAACGTGAAATGGTGTCATTTTTCTATTGGTCAATATTTATTTTACGTGTATTGTGGACCGCGGGGTCGCTACTCTAATTTCTACCGACTGACCAACTTCAGATATCCCAGTACGACCCCGATACTGTTCCCCGATCTCCAATATATCACAACACGAACCGTAGATGAAATTGTTTATGGGGTCAGGAGAAGAATAAGAATGATACTTAACAGACAAATGCATATTTATACAGTTAGGACTACCGTGAATATTGACCAGCAGGGAAATGACACGTGAAATAAATATTGACCAGTAGGAAAACGACACGTGAAATAAATATAGACCAATAGGAAAATGACACCGTTTCACGTTCGAGGATAGCATTAGACTTAACAGGATAATTTTCGGGATATTCTTCTGAATATCCCAACACCTTCCTTTGGAAAAGTTAATAGCGACGTAACCGAGGGTTTACTTGAAATTTCTTTGGGTGTCTTAGTTTGCGATCCGACCTCCAAGGTAACCACCCAGAACCAGAAGGATGTTCCATGATATCTTCTGTGGTCCCCTCCCCTCGTGCTTTAAGCATGGCTCGTTTAAATGTATCAACGAGCGTTTCAGCTTGTCCATTAGATTGCGGATGATATGGCGGAGAACGGACATGGTTGACCGAGTTTTGCAGGCGAAATTCTCAGAATTGTCTAGATGTGAACTGGGAACCATTGTCTGTTACTATTGTTTCTGGGAGACCATGCTAAGCGAAGATCTGATTAAGGAGTTTGATGGTTCGAGTTGTAGAGGGTGGCGCAATTGGCAGTATCTCCGGCCATTTGGAGTGAGTCAGCCAGTATCGTATATGTAGTACCATCTGGGGGTCCGTTGAAGTCAATATGCACTTGAGACCAGGGTACTGGAGGCAACTTAGGGGGATTTTTCGCAGCTGTTTGACAATGTGAACATCTTTTGACGAAGTCGACAATCTGCTTGTCTATGTTAGGCCAATATGCCTAGCTGCGAGCGATGGATTTCATACGGTTTATCCCTGAGTGTCCAGAGTGAAATTGGCGCAGGACCTTGTAACGTAGGGTTGTTGGAATTACTACGCGATCATCGAACATCAGACAATTGTTAACAACACAGAGAGCGCTGCGACGATTCGCTAGTTGTTGCACATCACTACTCAGCTGCTTAACTGACCGTCTGCTCTGAACATAGGTGATCGCTTCTTGGATAATCGGGTCTTCTATGGTAGCTTCCCGAACATCTTCAGCGGTAACAGGCATTGCTCGAACGGCATTCGCTAATAGTGTAGCACCGGAATCCTCTTCCGTTGATATTATGGCTATGAGTGTGTCCTCATCAGTGGTAGAATGGTTACTGTTAAGTCTGGACAGTGCATCTGCTTGACCGAAATCTTCGGAACGTCTATACTGGATGTCGAAGTCGTACCCCAATAACGCCAACGCCCAACGTTGAAGACGATTAGCAGAATGGGCAGGAATGCCTTTCTTTGATCCAAAGATTGATAACAACGGCTTATTGTTTGTGAGCAAGGTGAAACGGCGCCTGTAAATGAATTTGTGTTCTGATATATTGGAGATTGGGGAACAGTATTGGGTTCGTACTGGGATATCTGAAGTTAGTCAGTCGGTAGAAATTAGAGTAGCCACCCCGCGGTCCACAATACTAACAGTACACGATTGACTGTTAATAGGGATCCAATCGGTTAGTGCTACCTCAACTCTAGCGCTTGGTGTGACACTGACGCTAACAAAACCTGACGGAAATACCACAGGGTCCCCAGATAAACGCAAGTAAAACAAGCCTTTCGAAGCAATAGATGAAGAGAGAATTTGTAGCAATTCACTAGTCTTAAGTGCGGGTCTTAGATATACAACAGACATCGATATTAAGACTTTCTAAAGAAATAGTCAACCCAGTCTGTTTTTTAATCTGCATTAGTGTACCAACGTTAAAGGAGGGTAGTCTAAATGGCATACACGGTTTCAGAAAGGCTGAGTCAGAATTCGTATTCGGTGGTGGCATTCAACCTTCGACCAGTTAGTGACCCGAGATCGTTTAGATAGGACATGATTTTGACCATACGCAAGGTGTTGTATGAGTTGCAAAATAAAGGAATACACAAAAATGGGAATATACTAAAGACGCAATATCAAATAGCAACGAATGTTATTGAATGGTTGTGAGTGTAATTTATGAGGATGAGGATTGAAACGAAGATAATTTTTCGGAGCTGAAGTTATCATTCATAGTAGACAAAATCTAAATACAGACCATGTATGATGGTAACCTAACTACCTATTTAATCAGAACTTACTCTTTGGGCAGCAAATAACACAGGTCCCGTTGCAAGACCCATTTGTAGGTCTGCCCCACTAGGTTTGCCCAGGTTCGCCTCATCAGTTACAAAGTCCAAAACATCATCGATTAATTGAAATGCCATTCCCAAATGTTTGCCAAATTCGTACATATTATCAATGTGCCGCTGTGATAGCGTTGGGACAGTCAACATAGCAACCTAAAAGGAATTTTTCAGTCTAGCCAAGGAATAGAAAGTAAACTTTTTACAATAACCACAGAGATATACACAAAACCTGTCAATTATCTCCTATAATTTCAGATGATACGAAAACTGGAAGATATGTGGGCTAAGACATTTACTGATAACAACTCGTCATACACAATTCGGTTTAATCTCGACGTGACTTTCAACACTAAGTGTTTTGATTACAGCATTACCATTCGGTGATAAATCCCAATTTTGCTTATCAGTAGATTTTTTTGTCGTCAGTACTGAAAACCAAACAGAGGTAGATCGTCGACAGCTTTTCAAATTAGGGTGATTATTTACTGTAACGACTATAAAAATTAAAAATCTTTAGTGGATGACAAACTGAATGAAGAACTATTGTAACGTGATTCCAGTGAACTATCAACAAGACACCGTAACTCAGAATGTGGTCATGGTAATACCTACATGACTTATTTTGACCATCACTAATTTAGATCAGGGAAGAAAAAGAGTGTATACACCTACGCAATTGTGATCGATTCTGAGCCATGTCACCCAGAATTTCCAACCATTGGTCACGATAGTCACGCGGATTCCAATCAAGTAGTCTGCATCTACCAGCAATGCTCAGGCCAGAAGTTAGTGACTTCAAGCACTGATGCCACGTTTTGCTTCGGCCGGCCCTAACTTTCTTCCAATCATCCCCAACACCGTTAGCATTGTACGTCGTGGTAATCGGTGTTCAGGCATACGCAACACGTGGCCCAACCATCTCAGTCGATGAAGAATTTCAACCTCATCAACTGATTAACCATCATTCCCTAATACTGTGCGTCTAACCTCACCATTACTTACCCAGTGATCCCAGCAGATGCGAGCAAAATTTCTATGGCATCCGTGGTCAAACACTAGTAGCTTACGACTATATTCTACTTTTAATGGCCACGTTTAGCAATCATAAAGTAAAACAGAACGAACTGCCGTGCAGTATACTCGTCATTTTGTTGAAAGACAGATATCTCGACTTCGCCATAGGTGATGTAAGTTGGCAAAAGCCAAACGAGCTATCTGAATCCGTGCTGAGATTTTGTCAGACACCAACCCATTAGGGCTGATCAGAATTCCAAGATCGGTGAAGTTGTCAACGCGTTCGACTATTTCACTCCCTATCCTTAGTTCAGGTGTTAACGCAGGTCAGTCCTGAAGCAACAACTTGGATTTAGAGGGAGAGAAGCTCATTCCAAACATCCCGGCATTGTTGCTTAGGGCTACCAAACGACTCTGCATTTTATCAGCGTCTTCACCAAACAGGACTATATCATCTGCGTATTCCAAGTCGACAAGTGGACTTCCTGGTGGGAGATCAATTCAGTCGACGAGAACGTTATTTACGTCAGGTCTATGATGAAGTTAAACAAAAGTGGAGATAGTGGACAGCCTGGACGGACACCACTTGAGGTTGCAAAAGCAGATGACCGTTCTCCATAAACTCTGACTCGACTAGTAGTGTAGTGTGTAATTTCCTATACATAACTTATTTGATGTACGTATTATATGAACACTTAAGGAGGATGAAAACCTTGTGGAAGAGATTGGTATAATGGTCCTGAACTAATGACCGACTTTGCCTGCATTAGTACTCAATAAATCTAAAAGCTATCAAATTCATAAACTAGAAATACTATTATATATATATATATAAGCTTACTGCTTTACAGCTGTTAGCAATAAGACTCGCTGTTTTTCGGTAGGTTTTCGTCAGATAGGTTTGAAACCTTCTATCATCATCATCGCTGTTGGGTGCAAGCTGCATCATTTCGCCTATAAACGAAAGGTGATTAACATGGAATAAGCAGAGACGAACCATGAATGAGATCTTCAATAACTTGAGAAAGAACAGCTATCACTCCAGTATCTCCTATCTGAGCTAATAAACGAGATGAATGAGTCAGTATGAAGTCGCCTCCCAAAATTGCCTGAAGAAAAAGCGTGAAAACATTTTTGAATAATGCACTTGGGGACTTGCTAAATTTGCGTTAACAAAAAGCTAGAACTGATATACTATGTGCACAATGGAAAATATGGATTGGTTTAGACAATAATGTAGAAAAGCCATTTGCCCTTATGTATGACGTTCACCTGATAACGACTAAAGTATAAGGGAAAATATAAGCCGTAGAATTTATTTCTTATAAACAAAGGTGGTTAAAATCCTCTGCAACATGAATTATTTTACATGACAAAATTAGTTTTTGAAACTTAGTAGTTGTAGATGTAAACTGCGTGGTTGTGGTTCGCGAGTTATGATCGGTGGTCGATATTAGGTGACATGGCTTAGAGTTGTTCGCCGTGAGGCAAATGCATTTTCTCCTCATGTTGCTCCAGACATTGTTTTTCATAATTCACTCAAACAAATTTTTTTTCAACATTCTAAGTGATTAGTCTTTCTCACAATTATTCATGCTATTGTTTGAAGCATTTTGCTGCTCATCCTGTTAATTTTTAGCTGTTGCGCTGATTTGATTCGGCAACTTGAGCTGATCCACATTTTTAACAGATTCTACACAAATTGTGGATGAAGTTTGTTCCTGGATATTTTCAAAACAACTGTTATTTGCACATAACTTATATTGTTCGTTAAACTGCATCAATGTATTCTCAAACTGTTGTTGCAGACTAGTGATACGAATACACTGAACTGTACAACTTCAAATTTGTTTCGGTGGTAAAGAAAAATCCGAAATGAACTAGTGCAAGCTAGTCACGTTTTTGTTTCCCCACATAAGTTTTTTGCTGATTTGATGTCTTCGAAAGAGTACAGCACCTTTAACTTTAGTAATACATAACAAGAGCCAAAATGTTTTCATCTCTTACATAAAATAACAGCACCTGCCAACCACACCTGCATGTCAATATATGAAAAATGACAGCATATCATTTTATCAATAAAAACAAATGGTAAAGAGCCCATTCCTAGCGCGAAACAACGTTTGAAGGTGGTAGCATTCGGTTGCGTGTCCCATAATAACGACACTGAACTTTGTTTCGTCTAAAAGAACAACTGAGAGTAACTCTTCTAGAGGTGTCGATTAGTCTTCAGTCATAAGGATAGGAAAAGACGATGGAAATGGATAGGACATACATTACGCAAATCGTCAAACTGCATCACGAGGCAAGCCCTAACTTGGAATCCTGAAGGGAAGCGAAAAAGAGGAAGGCCAAAGAACACATTGCGTCGGATAATAGAAGCAGATATGAAAACGATGAATTACAACTGGACGGAGCTAGAAAGGATTGCCCAGGACAGGGTTGGATGGAGAATGCTGGTGAGCGGCCTATGCTCCTTCACGAGGAGTAACAGGCGTAAGTAAGTAAGCATAAGGATAGGAGGTCTATCGACCTATTTAGATCATTACGATTTGCACAGTAATGTTGACGGGAACGTGAAATCTCCGTTGACATTAACGAGAAATGAAGTGTCGCCTGAAATTGACATCGGCAGTCATACACCTCTAGTCGAAATAGAAGATCCGGATAAAACTGTCACCGTTCCACATAGTCCAGGTGTGGATGTTCTGAGTTGTGACAAATGGACTTCGGCAAGAAGGAAAAAAATAAGAAGAAAAAGGCTGTAGGCAAAACGCAGCTGGTCAGCAAGACATTGGAAGGGACTTTATCAGAAGAAAAATCCTCACCGCGTGAAAAGACAGATCTCTCTGAGAGATCAGTCATTTTTCATAAGATAAGAGAATCTTCAGACACTGAACCAAAGGCAAGATTTGAACATGATCTCAATCATATTAAGACATCATTAAGTAAACTACTCCCAGATACAGTTTCAGGAGTTAGTATTTGTAAGCTTTATAGAATAGGAAAAAAGGTGGATTCCGAAAGTCCTCAGAAAAACCGCCTCCTAAAGGTTACATTCAACACGGTGGAAGAAAGGAACCTGGTTCTAAGTAATTCACGTAAACTGATTGGATCCGGAATATATGTCCGTGAGGACCTCAGCCTAGCTGATCGTATTAAGAGAAGAGCTGTAGAAGCGGAAATAAACGAGCGTCGCCGAAACGGTGAAAGAAACCTCGTTCTTAAGGGTTTTCAGATTGTAAAAGTCCGGAGCAAAACGATCCCCAAGCCACTCTGGGTGGCAAGGGAAAGCTCTCCACAGACTTAAAAGTGTGCTACACAAATGCTCGCAGCCTACTAAATAAAATGGCGGAGCTGAAGTCACTGGCGGATAAAGACAAACCGGACGTTATCGCTGTCTCGGAAACTTGGTTAACGCCAGAAGTATTAGATAGTGAAATCCAATTGACTGGTTTCATAACCAGTAGGGCTGATAGATTAAACCGAAGGGGAGGCGGGGTTATTGTGTACACGAAAAGTACCCTAACCATAAGATTAGCTGAGACAGTAGCACATGTTTCAGGGACATGTGAACTGGTGGAATGTAAGTTGAAACGACGAAGGCAAGATATTGAGGTAGTTGTAGTTTATCGCAGTCCAGAATGTGTAGCAGATGATTTTCTCCTAAGTAAACTTAAGTCCTGGTGTAACAACGGTAAAAGCCTTGTAGTAGGCGACTTTAATGCACCATATATAAACTGGGTTAACTTAGAAGTAGGGTCATCGATATCGTCGTTCGACTGCAAACTGTTAGAAACCTCGATTGGACTAGCATTATTCCAACACATTAGAGATCCCACAAGATACGACTTAAGAAACTCTTCTTCTCTTTTAGATTTAGTCTTCACACACGGTGATGATGTTGGTCAAACGGCTTTTCTCCCACCACTTGGGAGAAGTGACCATGCAGTCATCTTATTCAAATTCATGGCTGAGATTGCTTGTCAAACAATTGCGCCGGCCCGTCCTAACATATGGAAGGCAGATATAGAGGCAATTAACTCCGCAGCATCGGCTGAGAACTGGGGAATTGACTCAAAGGCATCAGTACAAGAGGCATGGACTCTATTCAGGCAGTTATGCAATCGGGTAACTCAACCATACATACCCTGGACTGTCCCAAAGAAGAAGAAGCACGGCCATCTCTCGATAGGCCAGGATATTCGACGTTTACTAAGACAAAAGAAGAAATGCTGGGATGTTGCCATCCGCCTTGGCACAGCAGGTACGATGGAACACTACAGATCGATAAGAAACGTGTGTATAACTGAAATTCGTGAAGCCCGAAGAAAATATGAAATGCAGCTGGCAGAATCTGCACTCAAGCAGCCCTAGAGAATATTCTCACACATAAACTACGGAACAAGGACTCCTCACTGGATTCCCAACCTAATTAAAGTAGGAAGTGAATCTGAAATGATAGAGGAAGATCAGGAAGAAACAGAGGCTATGGCTGACTACTTTGGGGCAGTTTTCACTCAGGAACCTCCTCTAGAGAAAGAACCAGACCCAATTACAGAGTCAACAAACCAGCTGCTCACCGTGGACTTCGACCAAAACGATGTGCTTAAGGCTCTTAGCACCCTAAACATGGAGAAGTCAACAGGACCAGACGAACTACACCCTAAAATCTTGAGACATATTGCCCAATATATCGCAGCCCCACTGACTGTGATATTCAAAATGTCACTTGACCAAGGTGTGTTACCTATGGACTGGAAGGACGCAATCGTCACTCCCATACATAAAACTGGTCTACGACAAGTTCCATCAAATTACAGACCCGTAAGCCTCACCAGTGTTGTAATTAAAATACTGGAAGGGATAATCAAACGGACCATAACAGCATTTATGGAAACCAATAACTTGCTGAACATGGCACAACATGGTTTTAGAAAGGGTCTGTCCTGTACAACGAACCTCCTTATAGCTAGGGAGCTCTGGATTAATGCGCTAGACAACGGAAACTCAGTGGATGTTGTCTACATAGACTTCAGTAAGGCTTTTGACAAGGTGCCAACTAATAGACTGCTATTGAAGTTGGCAAACCTTGGTATTGTCGGACCTCTTTTAAAATGGATTAAGGATTTCCTAGTAGGTTGTAGGCAAAAAGTAAGAATAAATTCCAAGTGCTCCATCTCGAGACCAGTACTTAGTGGAGTACCCCAAGGTTCCGTCTTAGGTCCTTTACTTTTTATAATGTACGTTAATGATCTTACAAGTATAGTACAGTCTCCAATGTTATTATACGCTGACGATGTAAAAATTTGGCGAGTAATAACTGGAGACACAGACGCATTTACTCTTCAGGCAGACTTAAATAATATGATAAACTGGTCTAAAGAGTGGCTAATGCCTATCAACTCGGAAAAGTGTGTCTACATGCACTTGGGGGATTCAAAGGTTAATACGTACAACATAGGGGATGTGTCATTACCCGTAGTCCGGTCTCATAAGGACCTAGGGGTGACAGTGAGCAATGATCTTAAGACGACGGCCCATTGCCGGGAGGTCGCAGTTAAGGGGTTTCGAACCCTCTGGGCTTTAAAAAGGACATTCACTAAGCTTGATACGACCATGTTCACCACATTATACACATCCTTAGTGAGAACTAAGTTAGAGAACTGTGTTCAGGCTGCAAGCCCCTGTTTAAAAGGTGACTCAGACATACTAGAAAAGGTACAGAGGGCAGCTACGCGTGCAATTCCGGAACTCCGGGGTTTATCATATAAAGAGCGGCTTGAAAAACTGAACCTCTTTACTCTGTCCTATCGCAGACTAAGGGGAGATCTAATATTGATGTACAGAATACTGAGAAATGATTTCGGACCTAACTTATTCTCTCTCTTTCTTTCCACTAGATCGGGACACCTCAGAGGACATAGCAGGCGAGTAGAAAAGCCAAGAACGAACAAAATACCCCTGGCATACAGGTTTTCACACCGAGTCATCAATACTTGGAACCTGCTGCCTGAAGCAGTGGTATCCGCACCTTCAATTGACTCTTTCAAGAGAAGACTAGACACTCACAGAAGCATACTAGAAAAGGAATAACATAGGCCGTAGGCCTTCTGTCCTTACTACACAAATCTGAAATCTGAGTCTGTTAACTAACCTCTCTATGTCCAAAGGCTTTATAAGCCGATGTTTTCCCTCTTCGGACAGATGCTGAGTCAATCAAGTCATCGTGGATAAGACTTGCTGTATGGATCATTTCTGTGATTTTGGCAATCTCATGTTGTTTGGGAGAGACTAAATATGCTAAATAAATCCATTTCAAAGTAAAATGCATACAAAACTTACCCAGATTCCTAGCATGGCTTGATACAGATGAATCATATCTTACAATAAGGGGAGTGTTGCATTCTATGTGTGAATTTGCGCACGCTGCTGCGAGAGTAACAAGCAATGGACGAACAAGCTTTCCCTGAGATTCAAACTGATAGCGTAGCAAATCTTGAAATGCTGGAAACGCTGGACATAGACTCTATGATGCGAAAACACTGATAAGGCTGAGCAAGAAACTACGTGTTTTATTTCAGATACAATTAAGTGTAAATCCTTAAGGGCATTTTGTAAAAGCTCCTTGGAGTCGTGGTCTGGAAGACGTGACAAGTAAACACTTGAGTGCGTAAGCCTCTGAAACTTCAAAATACCTCAATTATAAGTACAAACTTTGACTCCAGCATCAAAAGGCCTATAAGTTAACGCCCAACGGAAAACGAACATCAACTTCAGTAGCGCAGCATTTGAACTTCCACCAACTTTGAGAGGTCGTGATAAGAAGACTTACAATTACTGGTTGAGTTAGTTGATAGCTGGATATTAAATAATACTTTTAGTGAGAACGTATTATACTAGAAGTTTTGAAAATGAAATTCAAACGGTGATACTTTGTTTTCAGTATAAATAGGATTTGCTAGAACAAGTAAGACGGCGAGGAGCTAAAATGCTGAAAAGTCTAACTAACACATATAGTGCGAACAAAACTTGCTGTCTCGACCTGGAAGATTGTGGGTGCTTTAAGATTGACTATTGAAATTAACTTACGGTTCCAACGATTTATTGTTACTTATGTTCACAAATACAAGTAGTATGCAACACCTGTTGGAAGTAGAATGTTTGCGAGAAAAACGTTGAGAAGGTTGAAATGAAGGGAAGTGAGATGGGTACTGAAAGCAACCTAGATAACGACAAGAAGTGAGGGTCAACGAAACTTGTAAGTGGTAACTCCAAGGAGATATGCAAATGATGTGTTTGAGATGTGATTTTCACACCTTATTAAACCACTGCATAGTGGTACGTTAAATAATAAATTGGTCATCCCCACTTACTTTGCATTCACTACACGGGAGCTGATCAAGAGCAGAATGTTAAACATGAAGTAGAAATATACAAGAAAATCATATCAAGAATTTTAAGAAGTCCGTTAAATTTTCACTCCGACTCACGGTTACATACTCTTTGGTTTCGATAATTTTAGCAACATTTTGTCTACATTGCACATTATTTGAAATGTAAATATGCAATATGATGAGGAGGCTAACCAGGTGACAAGAAACATACACAGTACAAGTGACAAAATATGGACGTTTATGCGTTTTCCAAAAGTTATGTGCAGAAACAGTTTACACACAACATTGGCAGGGAACACTGACTGAAAGTGTTTGGATTATGTAATTTCAATAATTATAAACCCTTCAGACAACGACGACTGATAACTGTGGTCGTAGATCACCGGTTATGTTCGCATGAACAGATCAAGAAATTCAAGACCCTCAACGGATACTTGAAAACTTTTGATTGATAGTAAAAAGCATTAGTTTGACGCAAACCATTATTTGCGATACTGCAAGGCTTGTGCAGATGAGTATAGCCAGTGTAGCAGCAGTCTCTGCATCAGTAGGCTACAACATACACAAGGGGAAAACCAAGATCTTCATTTACAACACGGAGAACAGTAATCCAATCACTATTGATGGCGAAACTCTGGAAGATGTAGAATCCTTCACATACCTGGGAAGCATCATCGATGAACAGGGAGGTTGAGATGCAGACGTAAAAGCGAGGATTGGCAAAGCAAGGGCCGCATTCTTTCAACTGAAGAACATATGATACTCAAAACAAATTTCAACCAAAATCAAGCGCAGAATCTTTAATACTAACATCAAGGCAGTTCTACTGTACTGAGCTGAAACTCGGAGAACTACAACAACCATCATCAAGAAGGTACAAGTATATATAAATGGTTGTCCACGCAAGATACTCAACATCCATTGGCCGGATACCATCAACAACAGACTTATATGGGAGAGAACAAAACAGCTTCCACCTGAAGAGGAAATCAGGAAAAAACGATGAAAATGGATAGGATATACATTACGCAAATCATCAAACTACATCACAAGACAAGCCCTAACTTGGAATCCTGAAGGGAAACGGAAAAGAGCGAAGCTAAATGACACAATACATCGAGAGATAAAAGCAGATATGAAAAGGATGAATAAGAACTGGAAGGAGCTGAAAAGAATTGCCCAGGACAGGGTTGGATGAAGAATTCTGGTGAGCGGCTTATGCTCCTTCACCAGGAGTAACAGGTGCAAGTAAGTAAGTGAGTAATTAATTAAGTAACTCGTCTCGGATTCACTCATATCCTGATCCTAGGAGACTTTGGTCTTCGTAAAATCAACTTCGCTGAACTCTCCAACATTAGACGTGACAACTCCACTGAGGTTTGGTTCTTCAACCTCATTGAAGACTTGGGATTATTACAAAATGTGAAGTCGGCAACTCGTTTGAGAAACAGTCAGATGCCGTCGCTCTTAGACTGCGTATTTACAAACAAAGAAGTCATAATCGACAGCCGCTCAATTTCGGCTCCTCTGGGTAAACTGGTCGTGCCATCATAGTCTTGAGTCTTATCAGAAAAACTTTTCTCAGATATCTTAGCATCAACAGTCACTGGAATTCCGTACGGTTTGATGTATCAACTCTACTGGATAATATACAGCAGGTGGACTGAGAAGTTCACACTCAAATTGATATGGATGCTCATTGGGATTTCTTACTACATATTATATTATGTGCTACAAGGCAGTGTGTCCCTAAAATAGTCCAAAAAATTGCAGTCTACAGTTTTCAATAACCGCACTCTTTGCTAAGACGCAAAACGCATTACTGGGTAGAATACAAATGGACTGGTAACAGCAGTGCATCCAGTTAATTCAAACAACCAGAGAACAAATGCACAAGGACAATAAAGAAAACAGATTTCAGTACCACATAAAGCTTATCGGTAAATTTTTCCCAATCCGAAAAGCTTAGTGCCTCACACAGCCTCCTTCGACAAGCCAAAACATGAGTTTCTCAATTGTAAAGTCCTAGCAGTCCAACCTGCAACGATGGCAAAGCAGGTAACCCTCCAGCAGGGCTGCATATTCGGTTATTTTGATCAACCTGTAGAATTATGGTCTACTATGATATTAGTACTGCTCTAATAATAGACCTAATCCTAAAATTGTAGATTTGTCATGATATAACAGCCTAATCTATAAGATCTTACGTGGAAGTCACACCATCGACTACACCAACTCACTGTGTCGTATCAATTACCAATACATGATGTAGAACAAGGTTAGGCTAGAGAAAGAACAATATATTTAATATGAATAGGAGATATAAGATAACATCCAGCAGGGACCACGTCTGTATGACTGAGCCATGCCACTCGATCAACTCAGTCCATTCAATTCATTGTTCGCGCCTTCTCCATTGTTAGGTATTTCTCCGCGTTAAATATTGAATATCTATTTTCTGAGTAGTCTCGTGTTCAGCTTTGTGGATTGTGTGGCTATTGTCCAATCCCACTACACTACTCTCCCACCAGAATCAACGTGATGTTGGTTCGATACCAAATTGGATGGGATCGTCGCGCGCCGGAGGTTACCAAGGATAATAAGAATCCTCCGGGTATTGGTAAGCTGAAAGATAAATCAAAAAGAAAGCGGCAGCATCTGGTCGGGAAATACATGTAAGAATTTTAAAATATCTGCCTTCATGCTTAAAACGCTTGAAATGAAAATTTGGGTGAAGATTATTTGAGCTATAAAAAATGGGGTTACAATAATAATAATAATAAAACGATGCGTGTTAATAGCCGTTGGTTAATAACTTAACGTATAGGTAGTAAGTATTTTGTGTTTAGAAATACTAAAGTAATGAATATTGTAGAAATGTTAATATTGGTATTAGTTTTGGTTTAAATTATGAAATCAAATAACGATTATGCCGGTAAGTTGTCCATATGAGTTGAATTCCAATTGCATCTGTATTAGTAGGCTAACTGAAGGGACAAAAGTATACCGCGGAGAAGAATTCCAACTAGTGTTCCAGTTAGTTTGATACGGTTTATTTAGTTACGGGGAGATTTTCTCAACCTCATTTTTACTTGACCGTGATAGAATTTAGTAATACTACTAATACACATGAATGATTATCAAAACAATGTTTAAGTACGTGAGTGATGATTATATGAATTTTGGACAGATAGCTAGAAACAAATCGTTAAACATGAGTGTATTCGTAAGAGACATGCTCTAGACTCAATGTTCTGAGTTGCCATAGACTATTTATACATATTTATACCTGACCGCTGACGATGCATACAAGTTAGTTGCAAGTATGCAGTTTATCATAAGGCGGAATACGATTCAATTGAGATATAGTGATTATAAGTTACTGAAATCAGTTAAGTCTATATACTACATTACTAGGTGATATGCTGCAAGATGTATTCAGCTAAATAAGTTTTTACAATATAATTAACAGTAAGTGACGCTCATGTGATTACCAGGGAGGAAACAAGTTGTAGCCAAGGGGAGTACACTCCCAACTCATGTCTATGATAATGGCTTGAACCTTAGTCAGTGTTGGGGTAAATTCGACATTGATGTTTTCAGTTTGCAGGAGATTTCCTCGACTGCTTATACTGATTTTTTTGCATGTATGATTGTGTCGCTAAACCTCCAATTAGACTGACAAGGTTTTGAGATATTTGCTGAATAAGCAACTGATAGAGAAACATACTGTAATCATCTGTAGTGAATGAAGATAAAACAAAAAACAACACTAGCGATAATTATAAGTCGATTTGATGACCGGTTATGTTAACAGTTTCATTAATATTATCAATCATATTACGTGATTGTCAAGTCATGACAATGCTTTATGACGATATCCTGAAACTATTATGTTCAACTAATTATAGTGTTGATTGAGGATTAGCCAGTGGAAAAAGAGATATTTTTGCTCTAGGTAATTCAAAATTATCAGAAATTTGTAGTGTTACAGAATCCGAGACGCCTAATTATATTATAATTTTCAATTCAGAAATACTCGTCTAGTGTTAATTCTAGTAGGCTACGGAGTTTTGATTTTAAACGTTTGTTTAGCCAACAGCTACCTGAGGATTTAGTTATTTTACTAGTGCAGTTGATAGTACCTAAATTTTTAATCTTATTATCTAAACTATGTCCGCATTTTAGGCTGCTAATATGATAAACCAATGCATAAACCCAAATACGATTAGCAACAACGACTATGATGGGTTTATTGATAAATGTTAAAGGCGATTCAGATGATTTCTAAATTTAGAAGACATGAAGATATACTGTAACGTATGTACGGGCCAGGTTAACAAGCAGGTTGTTGACGTATATGACAATTAAAAATAATGAACACGACCAGGCTGCTTATGAAACTTCAGGCAGGAATATGACGCGTTATAAGCATTCCATAAGAAGTTACTGCATTCAGCCTAGGGACACTTACATATATATGGCAAAAGCAACTGAAAAACATGTGTATGTTCAGTACAAAAAATCATTAAGTAAGATAGTTGAACTCGCCTGGATTATTTCTAAAAATTAGATTATTCAGTGGACGACATATATAACGCCATTCGTAAGGAGTAGTAATGATCCGAAAGTATCCAGAATAAAACATGCAGTATGGCAATTAATTCTAGGGTGCTTGATGCTGTTAAGGTTTTTGCCACACGCTCGGATCAGAACAATCGAATGGATCCAGATAATTGTGCGGTCACCATTGAACGAGCCATCTAAAAATGACCGTATGATTGCAGAAAACTTATAGCTGAAACTCACCGTATGTTTTTGGAGTAGTCATCCTCGTTGTTTGGCAATGGAACTCGAAAATTTGAAATTAGGCAGGCAGTGGTCGGAAGAAGAGATATTACAGGATAGTGCATAGTTTAAAACAGGATGAGGTAATAAGATAAGGAACACTGAATATTAGATCGAGGTAACTATTTGGTCCTTGCTGCATTGTTAGTCGATGTATATTTGCGTTATTTACTGGTCATGTTTGCTAGAGCTTGATGCTTAAACAAGCCTATGTCGCTGAAGCATGTAAATGCTATTAAAGCTTGTTAACGAACCATCAAAGCTAATTAGTTAATATAGACGACCA